TTGCCTTCCCCTCACAACTCTCAGGAAAGCCCCGGTGAAACCTCCTCCTCCTCCTCCTCCTTGGCTGACCCGTGGAACTGCCTGCCACTTTGGTGGGGGGAGGTGGAACAAAGGGAGCTGTGTACTGTGAGGAAAACTGCACCCTCACTCCCCATTCTGGTGTGTCCTAGGGGCCCCTCCTTTGAGGAAGAGGTCTCACACATCAATCACCAGTGACCCCCCAGCCAGCCCTACCTCATCAGCAGGCACCCAAGTTGCTTCTTCATCCTTCTCTCAATGCCCACCGCTGGTAAGAAATTTCAGATTTCTGCCTCCTTTCCAAAGCAGCCAATCGCTACTCACCTGTTGAAACTGGTCACCAGCCAATTGGGTGCAGGGGACAGAGGGAGGCAGGAAAGAGGTCGGGGATACACCCATGATAATCACATGACCTGGGCTGACTGCGGCAGCATGGCTGCTCAGCAGTGCTGAAGCAGCCACAAATTTCCCAAATTTCAATCCTACAGGAGTAATGGGTCCCAGATCTTGGACACATTCTGTAAGTTAACCCATCTGAGATACCTTGCTTCAAAAATTGTTGGCCTATGATGCACCCTTTCTCCCAATTGAAGGTTACAGTACAGACATGAGAGTTTTAGTAGCATATAGATAGATCAACCTTTGTGGGCCTCATTGGAAAGTTATTACTTATTTCCACTAAAATCTTGGGTCAATATATAGTAAAAAGGGCCTTTCATTTCTGGGACTGAAAGCAATTAAACCTCTGTAGGGCCTTTGGGGGGTTAGACTGGGTTTTGATGTCAAGGCTCATGAACATGTAACATTTTGTAAGAATTTAACCTTGAAATAGGTGGCAAGTTGTTTTATTGGAAAGCATAACTTGGAATAGTTACTTTAAATAAATTTCTTTGCAGTGAGTATTTTAAGGATTTTTCTTAACTTCAGATAGAATTTCACTTGCCGAATTCACAACAGGAGCACTCTCAACTCAAATATGTATGATAGCCCAGTATGTATCAGATACTTTAACTGCTTCAAAGAAACCTCAGATACTTTCTCTGATGAAGGAATTTGTTTATAAAACTACATGTATATCATATTTGTATGAAAAAAATAAATATTTTTATCGTTAGAATAATTGATATTTATGAGTATGGATTAAAGAATTGGAATATCTGACAATGGAGCACCAATTTTAATTTTAAATTCTTTAAATTTAAAGAATTGGTCTTATCAGATTTAAGATTGAAATTGATTCATCAAAAGATTCTGTATTGAGTTTATTGGACACTCCAACAAATGTATTTGAAAGAAGGAAAATCAGATTTTGTTAGCGATGCAAAAAAAATTGAGGGGTCATTAATTCATATGACTTGGTCTTGTCAGTTATTGGTATCTTTTTGGAACAATATATATTGGGAAATCTCTTAATGTTAAGGATAGTAATGTTTGAGTTATTCTTTAAAAATCTGAAATTTGGCTAATTTTTAGGAAATCAGTAATCAGCCCTGGGGTTAATGTATTGTATTTTGGGGGGCCTTGTTTTGTTTGATTTGTGTCACTTTTAGATCATTCTAGTCTGAGCTGCCTGTATGGTTTTATGTTTTATCTGTTTTTATGGTGGGAGGGAGCTGGTTTTGTATGCCTCCAGAGTTAGGCAGCTATAATAAATTTAAATAAATAAATAAAATAAAATCAATATTGAGCATAGGGAATTGCTGAAAGAATTATTTTGAGAAATTGAAAAAAACATTATTAATCCAGATATTAAGGACTGGATTGAAAACATATATAATTTGAAAACGCCATTTTTTTCTACCAATCAAAAAATGATGCAGTATGTTTCCCTTTGGCACAGCTTTCTTGATATTCTACAATAAGGGGGTTTTTTATTTGAATTTTTCATATATTGTCTTAACACTTGATACACAGGGAATGTGCCTATATTGTTCATAATTTGAAATTGGGGAATTTGGGAGAAAGAGCCACATTCTCCCTGTATTTTGCTCCAATCACTTCTGCACCATTTCCCAAATCTTCCAGAAATCCTTTGCATTTACAAGGCCTGATCACAAGAATCATTCTCATTTGAGGTCAGAGCTATCCTCACTGAATCAATACTCCCTCCCCCTCCCAAGGTATCTATGCAAGCAACCCTCTGTAAGTTAAGAATTACTTCAAAGTACTCCATTTCATACTAGGCCTACCTAGTTCAGCATTGTCCATTTAGTTGCATATTGGACAACAAACTGTTTCCTTTTTTAATTTGCCTCCATCATTGTTTTTCACAGTAGACTTCTCTGAACACAGAAGATTGGTCGGGATATCATTACTAACAGACATTGGTAAGTCTATCCTACATTTATCTAATCATTCAAAGCCAGAGGCTATCATTTAATATTTTGACAGTGCATTCAATAAATATTCTAGATTTCCTAGGGAGAATTTGAGCAAGTTGCAGACACTAAACCTAAGGCTAGTGGTGAGCCACAGCATCTAGGTCTGGCAATTCAGAACTCCCAGCACCCAACCTGGACCTTGACAGGCAGGGTCTCAAGCTCAAATCATCACAAGTGTCAACAAGGACAAATTTCTTAGCCTGGGTGTGGAAGAATCAGTTTGACCATAAAATTGCAAAAAGTACTATTCAGAAGCAGCTATCCCCTCCCTTCTGTCCTATCTCATTGTCTGTACGGCTTCATTTAAATATAAAAAGGGAAAGTTGGTTGATAATCCAGGTTAGGAAATCAACAATCAGGTTGAGTGGATATTCCTAAAATCCAGTCATTTGGATAATCTCAGTACACTAGAATGGGAGCTACATATTTTGCACTAAAGAAGATATCTGGTTTTGCTTGCTAAAGTGACTCCTGATCCCAATTTCACTGTAAGTTTAGTGCCAGACACACCCAGTCAAGAGCATTTGGGTAAGAATATAAAGAAGGGGAAACAACTAGGTTTTATATGGGGGTGTGCTCTAGACCACCATGCCAGTCATTATCTGGATAAAGTTATCCTAGACCTTATTATAGAACCTTCAGAGAGGAGAGAGAAAGTCATAATGGAAGATTTCAGTCATTCAAACAAATTCTTCAGTGGCTGCTGACTGTTTCATTTTTGAGAAGGTTGAAGAAGAGAAAAGGGGATTGGCTCCCCAAGATCTCATCCTAATCAATATTGCCTGATAAGGAGGTAAAGTCACTGGGAATTTTGGGAGAAAACAACCATATCATCTTGGCTCAAGATATTGCAGAAAGAGCAGTTGGAGCATAGCTGAACATGCACACAGGATTTCAGAAGAGTCAGTTTCAATAAGCTTAGAAACTATGTGTGGGATCTCATGGTAGGACCTGAGAAACCCTCAGATTGAACAGAGTACAGAAGAGTTGGTTGTTTCTCAAAAAATTAAATACTGGAAGTACAATAGCACACTGTTCTAATGAGAAGAAAATGAGGGGGAGCTTAGGAAACTGTTAGGGATGCAGAGAGTGTTTTGACTGAGCTTAAGAGTTCAAAGAGACATGAACTAGAAATAAAAGCTAATAATTACCACGGAAGCATACCTTCAAGTAATTAATATCTGCAAAAGAAAATCAAGCCAAAGTACAAAAGGAGCTTAGGCTCACAAAGGAAGCTAAAAGACCCAAAAAGGACTTTTTTGGCTATGTCTGTAGTAAAAGGAAGACAAAGGAAGAGGTGAATCTGCTGCTAGAGAAGATGGGCAGGTAGGAACAGCTGATGGTAAGTCAATTTCTACTTTCCTTTGGTCTTCTCCCAAAGGAGAACTGAATAAAGGCAGAAAGGGCAGGGCCATGCTTTCTGCTGGGCCCATTGCCAGTACAGGCCACTCACCACTTCCTGACTGTAGTAATGGATGACATTATCTTCTTCCCACTCCAAGCCCATTGCAAATGCCTCCTGCCCCAGGGTTTTCCAGATTCGATTCTAAACTGCAGTTTTCTGACCAAACTATCTTAAACCTTTCAAAGCCCATGGTCTCTGGTACTTCATTTCATTCTAGTAGCAGCCCCAGAGTGGTGACTGGCAGGCCTTCACCCTTCCAGCAGCTGGTTGTTGCCTGGGCAGCTATTTCTTCCTGGCCTACTAGGTTGCTACATTTTCTGCATTTTGTTATAATTTTGCACTTGATCCAGCAGTGGTCTCTTAAATCAATGACCCATACTCAATGTCAGCCCTTCAAGGTAGGCAAGATCAAGAAACAAAATCAGCAGAAATTCTAGGAATGTCCTTTAGAATAACTATCTTGAAAGCTTGTCAGACCTTCTCTCTGTTGAGACAAAATCAAGCCGGGTTATTTTGAGTTTCTTTCTCACACTTTCCACTTTCCCAGGACTGAATTGTCTTTGCTCCTCCCTTCATGGTTCATTGCTCTCTTTCCCCTTCCCAAGGCCAGAGCTGCATTCTTTCACAACCCTAGAAATTAATCTTCCCTTCAGCCCTTAGATCTCCCATCAGGCACCCTCTGTGTTTCTGCCCAGGCTGGAAGCATCCTCCCTTTGCTTTCCCATCTCCTGCCCCCAGTACTACAAAATTTCCCTTTCCTGTATTTTTAAAGCATCTTTGATTTGGAAGGTAGAAAGTTGCTACTTTTTTTCTCCAAAGCTGAACTATCCATTCTTCCTTGTACAAAGTTTCCATGGACCTACTGAGGAATGTAGGGACAAAACAATCTGTTGTCTGTTGCTTTGGTTATTGGGGTACCTTAAGAAAAAGGGGGGAAAAACACAGTACAAAAGGTTTATGTTAGTGTCATAACATAACACTAATGATAATGTGGGAAGGAAAAGTAAAAGGTATCCATGTGTGCAAATACCTGGGAAAGCAAAGGAAAAGTGCAGGGATTGGTGAGGAGAGAACAAGCCTGAGGAAGCCATGAGTAATCAAGCCCCTGAGGCTGACCCAGCCAGCAATCACCAAGAGGAACTGTGACCATGGTCAGAGAATGAGGACCAGGAACTGGGGTGACCTTCCAGCCCTTGGGCACCCTGCACTCCATGCTGAGCAAAGCAAAGGTGCTCTCAGCATCTTCTCACTCAGCAAGAGTGTCCCCAGCCTTAATTGGCACCCAGCTGGTTCTGCTGAAGAGCCACTGTTAGCCAACAAGACTCTTGTGGGAAAGAACCATTGGACCCAAACTCTGTGCACCCAAAGCCTTGAATCTCATGCCTCCCAAAACTCTGAACCCAGACTGGCTGACAACTTACCCCAAAATGCATAGACCTTAGGACCGTGACTCAACAATGCTTCCATCCACTGCTTTGGGTTCTTTGTTTGGAATTTGTTTGCAGGGGAGCCCACAGGTGACTGGGATTTTGCTGAAATGTGCTTGCTCTTGGAACAAGGCCTGCCTGCTGCTGGATTTAAGCAAATCCAAAAGAAAGCCCCAGCAACCTAGCTCCTCTGTGTGTAGGAATGATTGGCCTGGAATAGGACTTTATCCTAATTCTAAAGATTGGCAATGGCTACAAGACCACTGTTTTCTACCTTCAACTTTCAAAAGCATTTTAAAACAGTGATAAGGTTCACTTAAGGTTTAGGGTTTGTGTGGATTTAGTTTAATGCATTCTATGAACCCAGTCATTCAGGTTTGCAAATTGTTTTATGGTTTTTAGTATGAGTTGCAAGGCCAGCTTGTTGTAGTTTAGACAAAAATCCATGGCTAATTAAATATATTTTAGCATAATCTGCTAATCCAGTCAATGGCTGCATGAATTTTTCAGTCTGCAAGTGTGCACATCTCCTTAGGTTCCTGACATATGACTCTATAAGAGCAAAGTGAATGAGGGATGAACTCTAAACTTTATGCTTAACCATTCAATTTTGAAGGGCATTTGCAACCTTAAAAATCAGCATGAATATATTCATTCATATGTATCCCATCTCTTATGAAATGTGTTTGAAATACCAGGTAGGTAACAGATGGCCCCTACAGCTAATGTTTCCTGATTTAAGATAATTGCTTTGAAACTTATAGAACTTTTTTCCTGGGCTTGTTAACAGATTTACTTACAAGTAATACTTTCATGCTCTAAAATATTATATCACCCTTCACATATGATAGCTGATATACCATCTAGCAAACGAGTCCTAGATAAATCATAGCTACTTGGCGTTTGCTATAAGTCTCCATCCTGTTCTGGTCAATATCCCACCAATTGTTTGTCCTGTAAAGCAGGTCTTGAGTTGTTTTGTTTTGTTTTGTTTTGTTTTGCCCAGCAAACCATGGCAACCCGCTCTGTATAACCGTTATAGATTTTGACTAAAGCTTTCCAGACACAGTCTGATTCCTGGTCTGCATTCCAACAGTTTAGTAAACCAGACTATGTAGTATAAAGTGCTGTGTGGATACAGCCAGTTGGTTCCCACTCCAAACCCCATAATTCTGAATTCATGCAATGTTATCCTTCACTCAGAGGTGTACTTTATAGTATCTTCCATTTTTCCTTCCTCCTTTTGCTATTCCTGTCCTCCTGCCTGCATCTTTTTTTACTGTCAGAGATAGATGTGATACTCGGTTTGTAACCTACCAATCCTACCAGCCTTCCCAAAGTGTGGCTATTAGTAATAGTTGAAAATCACTGTCTCCAGCCATCGAAACCAAGCTGGAAACTATTGTTGCAGTCAGCATACAGGATCAGCAAGGCCAACTGTCATCACCAGGAAAAAATTGCTTAACTCCGAGAGGATGTGACAGCAACCACTTGATTCTAGTTCATAGCATGTTTCCCTTGAAAAGTAAATACTTAATGCTTCCCCTTCCCATTTCTTTTCATGTAGAAAGGATTAAATCTATCCTAACAATCAGGAACTATCCAGTTTCTCTCTCTCTTCTCCCTCCCCCCTCCCCCCATCTTGGGTGCTTCCAATTTCTGGATCATATCTCTCAGAAAGACTTAATTTTCTAAAACTCCCCTAATGTAATTACCTTTCTCTTCTTCCTTGCTGTCTGTTTTATTGCATATAACTGGTCATAACCTAAATTCCTCATGAAGCAGATTTGCTATTGACTGTTCTCCACCTGCCATTGCATCAGTGCTAATTAAAGACTGCATCAAGTAATGCTCTTGTGGCATCTCAATGAAGCCTCTTGCAATTCTCAGCAATCCTGAGCCGATCATCTCCTTAATAAGGATAATGATGCCTATAAATATTTTGCCTCCAGCAGCCAGCCCAAATGTGGGGCAGTTCATTTTTGACAATGTGGTTAATAGGCCTTACAGATTTTAATCCCAGAGCAGGATTTTTATAAGAAAATATACAAGCAAATTAAAAATCCGACACAGAAAAGTTTGAGTCATCAGGAAAGTGTGCTTATTTTTCTGTC